ATAGTCTAATCTAGATAGGATAAGAGATGTTACCAGTGTTTTTGTGGTCTCTTCGTTTAAGTACTTTCGAACTAGGCCTATCCTATTTATTTATTCGATTACACATAGGGCTACATGTATTTTCCTTTCGGCATATTGACGATTCAGTCTCGTAGACATATTTTGTCTCTGTTTGGAAATTTTTAAATTATGATGGGCAAGCTAGATCTTGGAAAAGTTGCACGTGCACTCGACTATAGCAAGACTGGTGCTTTGCCTTTATTTGGGCACACATGGTGTGCACCGGTGCAGTGAAGTAATAATGTACAGGATGGAGCACAAAGAGCGGTGTTCATGACAGCACTTGGTCTAGGATTTGTTTTTAAAGTAAACAAGTTGCAAAGAATTAGATCAACTGTCTTATAAGCAATGTATTCCCACAGAATGAGAAGAAACGTCTGATAGACCTTGAATTTCTAATAAGTTTCACGTGTTGACTTGGTTCGCAACAAGTCGCACCACAGTCGCCGGTACATGTATTGCCTCAAAATGAGACGGAACCAAAATTAAATATTGAGAGTAGTGAGACTAAAGATTAAAAGTGAGTTGGCGCTTGGGTTTCCTCTTGCCCCATTTCTAGAAAGCAACCTGCCTCCGCTCATTTTTAACATGTAGATGGCTTTTTTACGCCGCCATCAACACAATTTAGCCAATTTAAGAGTCAAGCTTCGATTCAGGGTGTGTAACGGTCAACCTAGACCGAGAGGGATACAATGTCTCAAACAGAAAGAACAAGTTACTCGATAAAAGTTCTCCCAGCGTGAGTGTCGTGAGAATCGAACTCAAGTTTTTTGCAAGCTCCGGGGAAGTCCCTAACTGCTACACCACAAACGCCGGTGCTCATCTTTCTACTTAACTTTATTTTAAATTTGAATAATATAAGTTGACCGCTCAAAGCTGTTTATATGTTTGTTTGTTTGTTTGTTCGTTCGTCCGTTCGTTCATTCGTTCAATTCGTTCGTTCGTTCGTTCGTTCGTTTGGTTGGGTGAAGAGAAGAACATCGACCCAATTACGGTCACAGGAAAAAGGTAAGACAGACAAGCAGAAACAAAAGCGAGAAGGAAAGGACAAGAGCCTAGTGGTGGAACCCCCCGCCCCCC